CTGAAATTTTCAACTTCAAACTTCTTTGCCAAATTTTGACACTTCAAATTTTCTAGCTATACAGTATAAGCAAAGCATTATGATATATCCCTTTGCATGCTCTTACTATCCCTGCTCCACGGTTGATCAGGGCCACTTTGACATCATCAGTGGCATTACGGCCAATAGGTCTGTAATGAAATTGGTAAAACGTATTCCCCACAGCAAGCATCACTTCTCACCTTTCCTCTCCTTCTCCTCCTCCTCCTGCTCCAGTATTTATAGCTGCTCTTGGTATCTGTTGCAGGACTATGGCTTCAAGCTCCAACTATAACAAGGCGGGAAATTATCACGTGACTTTCTTTGAAATAATTCTTACCCGAACCATGTCCAACTCTCTTTGGAGCGACTCTATCATGAGATCACACTCTAAACTACTCGTCATACTATCCCCTCCCGGGGACACTGGCCTATCATCGTAAGGACATATCTCTTCCAAAGTCTCTCCTGCCAGAGTTTCTCGGCCATTTTCAACCATGATTGTTGCTATAGAAACTAGTTCTACCACGCCCCAAAGCCGCGAAAATTAAAATAATAATGGAACGACAGGTTTCGCATGAAATGATAAAAATAGTGGCTCAAGATACAGTAAAACTGATGAAAGATGGACTCAGTTTTGTCAAAGAGCCTCCCCAAGAGATAAAGATAGAGTGTCCAATATGTCTCCATGTAATGGAGGAGCCTAACCTCACTAGTTGCTGTGGAATTCATTATTGTGAAGGCTGCATAAAGAAAGCACTTGTTGAAAAAGGCTCATGCCCCAACTGTCAATCAGACTCGTGCCATACATTCCTTAATAAAGACAGGCAGAGGATTATACAAAGACTCAATGTGTACTGCATTAATACTGACTGTAGTTGGAGTGGAGATTTAAAAGATCTTCTGCAGCATGTGAACAAGGGTAGAAGAGAAGGAGAATGTGGATACGAAATGGTAAAGTGTCGCTGTGATGGATGCACACATGAAGGAAGAAGAATCGACTTGGATCCTCATGAAAGAGATGAGTGCTTACAAAGACCCCATACCTGTAAATACTGCAATAAGTACAACAGTACTTTTCATGATGTCACCACCAACCACTACAATTACTGTGAAATGTACCCCATTACCTGTCCTAATGGCTGCACAACACAAAGACAACTAACTCGTGGTACAGTGCAAGGACATGTACGAGTCTGTCCACTGGAAATTGTTACGTGTGAATTTGAGTGGACAGGATGTGAGGAGAGATTCCCACGCAAAGAAATGAAAGAGCACTGCAATGATATGCTCATTGAACACATGTCTCTACTGGCAGTCGCTTGCAGTAAGCTGAAGGATGAGAATGAGAAGCTAAAGAAAAGATGTGATGCTTTAGAGAAGAGGAGCAAGTCCAGCTACTTGCTATCAAGAGGAATAAACCAGCAGCCATCAGGGACCCCTCTTACACTTCAAGTCCCTTCATTATGAACTGATACTCAGAGCAAGAGGCTCATTCCTTGTGCGATTCATAGACCCATAGCTCTTCATAGGGGTTTGTATGTAGTAATGATATTGCTTCAATTTCATTTTTATGAAAATAGCTATTTAAAAATACATTTAGATAAAAGTGGAAAAAGACATGTACGTGTACTTTTGGCCAATGGTGCCTTGAATTAATGCTTCCTCTAAACATGTACATGTATTTGACATGTACGTACATGTACGTGTACTTTTTGGCCATTTGGTGCTTTGAGTGAAAATGGTTCCTCTATACACTTGTACACACACGCAATGAGTACATGTATTTCATATGTACACGTACAGTACATGGATAATCATCAGTCTTATCAAGGAATGTCACATGTAATATCCGTTATAATCAAAAGTATTATTATAATTATGCTACAGAAAAAAGTCTGTGACATTACAATAATCAAATACTGAGAGACAGAGTGAGCATTACAGTACTACCATATAATGTCTATGAGTATATAGTGTGCATTAATAATAATAATAATTATTATTATCGTTATTATGTCAATTTACTGTCTTTTACTAGTCATTATTCATCATTTCTTTCATTTCTTCCTCCCAGTCAACCAATAGTCCATCATCATTATCCTCTTCAAGATCAAGATCCTTCAGTTCAGCTTGAAGCTCATCCCACAACTCTCCATCATCGATACCTCCTCCTCCTCCTCCCCCTTCTTCTCCTTCAACTGGTTCCACTCCTAACTGGCTGAGCTCCTTCTTGAGTGTTTCCTTAGTAACTGCTTCAGGGTCTATGTTGTATGGGTGATCACTGATAAACTCATCCACCTAGAGGGGGGAGAGAGAGGGAAGGGGAGAGGGGGAGGGTAAAGAAAAAAAGAGAGGATAAGATATTAATCTAAATGACACATGTCACAGTATAGTAATTGTACAATCATCACCTTCTGAAGTAGTACATGTACACTATAGAGTTCTACATCCATTCAATAATTGATTGGATTCAATTTTGTGAATTAACATGAATTGAACTTCCATGCCATACATGTATGTACGTGTACATATACATGTACAATGAACATAATACAGGTACATGTACACTGGTGTTCTATACCCATTCAATAATCATACAAGTGCATGTACATGTACAATGAGCTTAATACATGTACATGTACGTGTACATTAGTTTATATTGTCATTACTTGTTCGTCCGTTTCGCTAGCAGTAACTTTAGTAGGTGAGTCCACCTCTTCTTTCTTCTTCCCTCCCTCTCCCTCCCCTCCCTCTCCCCTCCTCTCTTCTGCTTGAGGTTGTTCCCTTTCCTCTATACTAGTCTTTGAATTAGCTACAGAAAACAAACCACACCCATAACCACTCCCCCAAACACTTCCGTACCTGATGATAGAGTGGAGAGTTGTACAGATTGCTTGGCGAGGGACACTCGGTAGAAATAATTACGCCAAAAGATCTCTTCAGAAACCCTGAGACAAAGGAAATAAAAATAAAAGAAATGCATAAACATATACAAGAGGGCGTGACTTAAGGATTTTGGCCAAGAGTGGGGAGGGGAAAAATTAATGTACTTTTTGGGGCGAAACCAAAATTTAGAAAAATTTAAAGGGGCAAAGTCAAAGAAGCAAATGCTCAAAAATCTTGTAGTGTAGATAGCGTACAAAAGTTACAGTACATGTATACTTATTGCAAATATACATGTACATGTACATTAATATTACTTCTTAGGTACTAGTTCAAATCTTAGTTTCTGCAGGCGTGGGTCCTCCTTTAGCATCACCATGGCAACCGGAGCTATACGAGAATACTCAAAAGTGAAGTTGACTTCGGGCGGAGGCTCACGAAGAACATTACGACTGTCCTGAGAAGAAGAGAGACGGAGAAAGAGAAATTAATAAATATATTAATCGTAACTGTTTCAAGGACATTTTGTACATTAATTAGTGCATACATGTGTAAATGCATTAATTCTGGAAACTGCTAATCAGACAAGACT